TTATCTTGCAACTATTTCCTTATCCAGTGAACAGTCCTCCCATCATATCCATATCCTCCCAATTTGAGGAGTTATGGGGGACTGTGTCAAAGGCTTTACTGAAGTCCAGACAGATGACATCAATGGCTCTTCCTCTGTCCACTGACACAGTTACACCATCATAAAAAGCCACTAGGTTGGGTCAGGCAGGACCTGCCCTTGGTGAAGCCATGCTGGTTATCTCCTATCACCTCAGTCTATTCCATGTGCCTTAGCTTCCAGGGGGATCTGCTCCACGATTTTCCCCAGAAGACAGGTGAGGCTGACAGGTTGGTAATTCCATGGGTCATACCCTTCTTAAAAGTGGGTGTGATGTTGCTTTTTTCCCAGTCACTAGGGACTACATGTGATTGCCATGACTTTTCAAATACCATCAAGAGTGGCTTGGTGACTACATCAGACAATTCCCTCAGGACTCTGAGATGCATCCCCCATCAGGATTTATAGACTTAGGGATGTTCAGGTTCCTCACATGGTCACAAACATGACCTTCTCTTATAGAGGGAGGGGCAGTGCTCCCCAAGTCCCTACTGTCTGACTCATCTGCTCAAGGGGTGTGTAAAGAGCAGCTGCCAGTGAAGACTGAGGCAAAAAAGTTGTTGAGTATCTCAGCTTTCTCTTAGTCCATTGTTACCAGCCTGCCTGTACTGCTCACCACCTGGGGGAACACCTTTCCTAGATGTTCCTTTTCTAATTGATGTACCTGAAGGAGCCTTTCTTGTTCTTCTTTGCATTCCTTGCTGAGTCCAGTTTCAGTTGGGCCTTGGTCTTCCTGACTCCATCCCTACATAGCCTAGCAGCAGGCTATAGTTCTCCCAGGGTACCTGTCCCTGCTTCCACTGCTTGTGTATTTTTTCTTGTTCTCCAGTTTGACTGGCAGGTCCTGGTCTTTTGCCTTCCCTTTCAGACTTCCAGCACGTGGGGACAGACAGCTCTTAAAGGTCTGCCAGTGCTGCACTACTTCCTGGTCCTTTAGGACAGCTTCCTAGGGGGTTTTGTTGACAGATTCCCTGAACAGCTGAAAGCTAATTTTCCTAAAATTTAGCATCCTGACTTTACTCTTTGTTCAATATCCCTCAGGAGTGAGAACTTCACCATTGCATAGTCACTACAGCGCAGGCAGGCTCCAATCCTGATGTAACCATCAGTTCACTTGCACTGGTGAGTGCATTGGTTCAGTATTGTATCTCCCCTGTCTATTACTAGGCTCAAGAAGCTACCCTCAGAGCATTCATTCTAGGAGCCTCCTGGATTGCCTGCAGCTTGCAATGCTACCTTTCCAGTAAACAATGGCTACATCTGCTAATAACTGCCTTGGCCAGTAGCTGCCTTCTGTTCTTGAGCACTTCCTAGAGCATCTCTGGTCTAAGGAAAGGAGCAAGAAATAAAAACACAAAGATTGTCTGGCTGGTCCAAAGAAAGACATTCTATTACTGAAAAGTCAAGGAACTGTTTTGTGACAGAGATAGAGAAATTAAGATATACTGCAAAGCTTTTAATAAATAGTAACATTTTAGAACTAAAAGCTTCAATAAAGCATTGGCTCTGCAGCTACAAAATGAAACAAAGCTCTAATGAGCAAGAGAATATGAAAGAATGAAAGATTAGCAAAGAGAAAAAAATTAGATAACAAAAAGCTTTAATGCATCAGGACTGCTGCTCAGTATTAGAATAGCTTAAAAACCATAGGCAGCTGTAATATATTCTAGGACTGATGTTGTAACAAATTTGTGTTGCTGTTCTTGGTTTTTCTTGTGTTTTTTTTTTAAACATTCTAGCAAAAAAAAAAAAAAAGAAAAAAGAGTTTAAACTATGCTCACTGTATATAATTTCTTCAGAAACAGATGCAACTTGCAGTTTTTCCAGTAAGCCTATAAAGTACTTGCATGAAAAAATCCAGCTTATATTATAACCATTTTTATGATTAGGTGGTTGAGAGTATTAAAGAAAAAAAAAAAAAAAAGAAAAAGAAAAAAGAAAAAAGAAATCTGTCTACCTAAAATACGCTCTGGTATTTTAAGAGCGCTCTTACCTGCAAAGCTGCTGTCGATTCTTCACTGGGCAGGGAGTCTATTAGAACATCAATATCTTTTGCAGTTCGTGCAATCAATGCTGCAAACAGTTGGGCATATTCTTTGAAAGAATAAAAAAAAGTCAGCTTACTCAATGCATTGCTAGAAATAAGCACAATTCTGCATTTATGGCATGGAAAATTCTGAAGAGCTCAAGTATATATATGTTACAGTTTCTCCTATATGAAGGAAACAACAGTATTACAACTGACAAGAAAGGGATTCTATTAGAAGATGATGGGTGATTCCAATTCCCAATTAAACAGGATAACTTGTTATGCAAAGGGCTAGGCTTTGTATAAATAAGAAAATAGCTAGAACTCCATCATGGTTAGCCTGTTAAGAAATTACTAAGAGTATTCAGTTTCCTAGTTATTACAATAAGTATTGGAAGTAGGTTGCTCTGAAAGTAATGCTTCCTATTTATTTGCATGGAAACTAAAACAGCTACAAAGAGCACAATAACACTTTTTAATAGAGCATATTCTCAGCTACAAAACACTGTTTTTTAACACAGTCACCATCATCAGCTATGCATCTTTGCTAGTGAAAAGCCTGCAGGCTGCCATCCTAAAAAATCTGTGTGGCCATCCAGAATGTGGTTTGTTTTTCAAATCACCATCACCACTGCTGAAACACACCACCCACCGCTTCACTGTGATAACATCTACTGTTTGGCCTCCATAAACATTCAGTAAGCACCAATAAATGTCAATGGGTGCCATTTTTTTTTTTTTCACATGGAAGAACTCAATGACAAATCTTTGCTTCATACGCACTTCCACATCAGATACCATTTTGTCACACTGCCCCTCTGCTCCCACCCTTCATACAACAACAAAATGTAATGGAACATTGGTGGGAAGGTTTAGCCTCTATTCCACCAACACCTGTTGTTGTAGATCAATATAATAGAAAAGCATTACTTTCGGAGCAGCCCTCATAGTTAAGAACTCATTTAAACTTACGGTCCTTGTCTTGAGACCTGCCACTGGACAAATAATTAACACCAGAAATAAGGTAAAGACTGTAACTCAAATAGACAGATTATTATGTAACAGGCCATTAGTGAATGAAAGAATGTAAGGTTGGCTTGTTTTAAAGAAGGATAACTATTCCCCACAGGAAAAGTTGTCACTGAGACATGGAACAGCAATGAAGGTTTGTAAATCTTAGTTTAGCTACCAGATCACTGAAAGAACTGCATCAATTTTGAGCAATCTGGCTCTAAAAGCCAGAAACAAAAATTTTCTACGTAGAATTGTATCATTCAATTTGAATCAGTTTTGTTTCTACTGCTAAAATATTGAAATAGCCCTCTTAGATGTATAACTTAAGATCTTACACATTTTATTTTCTTGATTGCTTCCACAAATCTTTCATGAACCAAATGAAAAAAATATTCTCTAGTAAGAAAAACGTCTAAACGAGATTGACATTCTCTAAGATAGACTTATCCTGAAACTAATAAATAAAAAACACAACCCCAAAGAACAACAAATATCCCAATATACCCATTTAAAGGCTTCTCTGTGTCACTCACTTCACATATACTCTGATGTGTAAATCAGTGCCTTCCACACTGAGTTTTAAGACTTTCTTGTTAATAATTTAAATATCCAAAGACATTCACTGGTTGCTTTGTGATTGTGTCCCATTAACATTACGAACTTGGTTGTATGATTTTAGTGAACTCATTACATTCAGAGTTTTAGGAATGACAGAAGATTCCTTAATTAATTACATACGGAAGCAATATATGCAGAGAAACATACTTAAAAACCGTTAAGACAGAGAGCTTCAAACTAATGTCTGATTCTATAAAACAAACACTTGCTCGCATTCAAAAATTAAAAAGTAGTGGGAAGCTCACTAACAACCTCCCACAACCTCTTACACAAATTTATATCTGAAAGGCTACTGTATCTGTGCAAATAAACCATCACAAGAAATACATTTCAATGCTTAGTTACAACTCAAAATGATGTTGCCAAGGTCACAGTCTCATAAGCAAGTGCAGCCTGACATCAATTTGTGACTTCACTGACAGTTACTGACAGAACTGCTTGCTCAGCGTGAAATAACACACAACATTTGAATGACAATGTGCCACGAGGGAACCCGAGCGACTTGCCTTCCGTGGGATTAGCCGGCTGGTCTTTGTTGATTGCAGTCTGAATGTTGCTGAAGGAAGCTGGGGGGCCGCACTGCTGCAGCACACCGATGGCGTTACAGAACTGGTCAGCGAGCTGCAGGGTGCAACGAGACTTCGTTTATCAGATCTCTAAAGACGTTTCCACTTTATTTTGTCCCCCCACCCACGAGACGTGCGCGCAGACCCCGCAGCCAGCTACGAGCAGCGGCAAGGGTCCCTTGGCTGGGATCGCACCCTGGGTGGCCGCTGGCTTAGGAGAGGAAGCGACTCACAGCCCACAGCGAGCGGGCAAGAACAGAACCAGCCCAGACCAAGATCCCTCCCCAATGGGCAGAAGAACAGTTGCCCAGAGAAAAGGCAGCGGCCGCCTCACCGAGTTCACCGCATCCTGCAGCTGCGTGAGCCGGTCCGCCATGGCCGAGCCGGGCGGGGCGGGGCGGGGGCCTCCTTCCGGTAGGCAGGGCGAGGCGTGCGCCGCCTTCCGGTGGGTGGGGCAGGGCGGGGACCTCCTTCCGGTGGGTGGGGCAGGGACCTCCTTCCGGTGGGCCGGGCAACGCGCGCCCCCTGCCGGCCGGGAGGAGGCTGCACAGCCCAGGGCAGGGGCGCCGCGAGGCGTCCTGCTTCGCTGCCACCGGCGCGCGTGAGCAGCTCTGCTGGGGCCGGCGGGGCACCGCCACACGTCGGGAAGCTCGCGGAGGCAGGTATTGAGATAAAAGGGAGGAAAGTACCGCAACACGCGATACAGGAATACTTATTTCTTTTAGAAATGCATTTCCTTGCTCGGACTTTCACAAGCCGGTTGAGTGCCGGGCTGTGAACGAAAGGCGGGGTGGGTCTCGCTGGGAGAGGTCGGCTGTGACAGTGGCTCTGAGCAGCACGTTTAAGCGTTTACGACCCTCGTACAGACTCCGTCTTACGGGATCGCTGCTGAGCTGAACAAAAACGCCATCAGCAAGCGCTAAAGTCCTGGCTGAGAAAGGCAGCTCTGCACCAAAGCAGGGGGAAGAGCGAGCGGCTGCTCATTTGGAATAACTGCGGTCTTCATCTGGAATAAGCGCGGTGCGAAGCGCAGAGCGGTGCTCAGCGCTGTGCTCTTGCAGCAGACCGACGACTTCCTTCTGCGTTTTATCTGGAAGCAAGCTGCCTAGAAAAAGCCAGTAAAACGGGTGACGGCGCAAAGCCAAGGTTCACGACGCAAATTCACGAACGGGGCTGAAATAACAACAAGACCGCCTTTAAGCTCCCAAAAGCTGAAAACAGCCACCACCACCGTTCCAAAAAGACGCGTTTAATTTGCCTCCCGTCACACGGCCGTGAATCACCTCGGCAGCCAGAGGCATCCCCGGGGCTCCCTGCGTGAGAACGAAACGGCAGCGCCATTAAAGAAAGAAACGAAAATTAGCTCGATGCTCACGCAGCTCAGCCTGGAGACCTCCCCCAGCTCCGGCCCCGCAGCCTGCGGAGGCGGATAAAGGGCGCCGAAGGGGCAGCCATCACTGTTACCCCCAGCCCTTTGCTGGGTGGGTGCGGGGGGAAAACGGCTGGGCGGGACCCGCGTAGCCTCGGGGTGCTACTCCTCCCCGCAGGCTCCGCCCTGCTTCTCTTCTGCGTTTCGGTCCTCTCTCAGCTGCTTTCCCTTCCCTCTGCAGCGCCATGCGGTTCCCTCCCGGCGTTGTGCTGCTCCTGGGGATCCTCGGGGCGCTGCGCCATGGCGGCGCCTCAGGTGAGTGCGGTGTCGGGGGGCTGCGGGTTGTAATGGGCGGTGTGGGCAGGTGCGTATCCCGCAGCCTCCCTGCGGTGTTTCCTTACCGCAAGGCCGGCTTTGCAGCTCATTGCCTAGCTTTATAGCGCTGTTGTTTTACCCTCTGCGTGGCTCTGCTGGACTGCAGCCGTGCTGTTGTGGGGATGTGGTGCGGGCTGATGGGTTTGGTGTAAGGATATAAGAAGGGAGTGTAAGAACCTATGTAAGAAAGGGTTAATTGCCTCTTACGAGAGGTTCTGGCTTTCCAGCACCTCGCTGATCGCAGACCACAAGCCGTCCCTTTAAAATCAAGGATCCAGGAACAGCCTTGAGAGCTTGGAATTCGGGTCCAGAAATGGGTTGTTGGCCGTGCTGTTGGAATCTGACTTTGTTGAGCGTGGCCTTCTTTTTGTAATTCATTTGAGCTTGTGCCTGGGACTAAAGTGGGCCTCCGGAGCTCAGTGTTCTGTGATGATTGTATCTTGTGAAGACTTAGCTGATGCTTTACTTGTTAACGCTTTTCCTGCTGGTGAGAAGTTTCCTCAGAGATAAGCAAGCAGCCTCTGATGGTAGGGCTGATATTAAGCCTCTTTCAGGTTTTCTTTACTTAGAAACTAGCGTCTAATGAAGCTTAATTCTCTAAAAGGAGATATCTGCCCTTGGGGGGTATGTTGCAGCGCTTCAGAGTGCTATTTGGAATTGCTCTCAAGTGTGCAAGTCTTCCTTCCCTATATCATGCCTATGTCTTAAGGTGCTTCGTGCGGACACGGGAAACTTGGTGCTTGATAGCATCGAGTAGGTTTGAGAATGAAGTCTCAGATAAGGAATATGTCTCCCAGACTCGATTTAAAATGGTGTTGTGGGTTTTTTGCTTGTTTTCTAACTGTATGTATAAACACAGGATTGAAGTGAGACAACAGCTGCTTTGTTTTGAAGGAGCCTGTTGCTGTATCTCCTTGCAGAACTAGGAATGGGAAGAACATCATTTTCCTCATGAAAAGTTGATGAGCTTTGTAATTTGTGTTCCAAGACCTAGCAGACTATTAGGCCCTTTAAATGAGGACACCTACTTAATGGTTCACTGATTTAAAATTGTCCTGTGGTTATTCAGTCCAGCTTTGCAGGGATAATTTCTGCTGTGTCCTAGTACTGAAAGATCCCACTTCCTTTTTAAAGTGCAGATCTGTCAGTGATAGGCTGTATTGCCTTTCTGGGGTTCTGATGGGCTGCAGCTCTCTAAACCTAGCTCTTCTACTTAAGAAGCAATAGGTTTTATGTTTAAAACATCTAAGGAGCTCCACCTTCCTGAAATAGGAGTGTAGTTTGCCTTGTTTGCTAATTCCAAACCAGTTTTTTCAGTAATGCAACAACAAAAGTGAGTTTGTAGTGTAATTAGGTTTGAGCAGGGCTCTATGGTAAAGTTTTAGCTGAATCAAGACCATCCTTCAGTTAAGATACAGCTGTGCTAAAATCATGCGAAATACGAAGTAGTTGAATGATTGTTCCCCACCAGCTTATCTGGATCTACTTAGTCTGTGCTAGCTGTTTAGTCTATGCAGAGAAGTTCCCACAAGACTACTCTGATCTCTGAATGTATTAGGCAGCTGTTCACTTGCACTTCTGAGTAATAATGCCTCCTTCTTGTGCCTTGCCACAAGATGCAAGTGATAGCCTAATCAACAGTACCAGCAATGTACTTGAAACCAGAGCCTGCACATTTCAACTGTGAATCAGTGGATTAGTAAATGTGAGCAGGTGAACACAAGTACTTTTCACTGTCCTTTTCAGGTTGTAGAAGACCTAATTAATTCTACAACTTGGTGGACAGTATAGTCTTCTGGGATAGGAATGCTGCAGCTGTGGTACTGTCTGCATTGAACATCAAACCATGTGCTGAATCCCAATCACAGGAGTTTAAAGTTTAGGACCTTTCATAAATCTCCTTGTTGCTTTTGATGGGAGTGCCTTTATTTGGGGTTGTACTACTGTGGGAAGACTGAGGATTCAGTGTGCATCCATGTATGTATGGCCCTAAAAGGTCTGATGTGATGTGATAGTTTAATAAAGACAACAGTGTGCTCAGTTTTCTCTGCTCAAAATGTCTACATCTTACTGTTGATGTTCTTCCTGCACTGAAGGGCTCTTCTTGCCTCTAAAAACTCATATAAGGTAACTTAGTATATCTGTAAACTGGTTGGCACTGAAATTCATTTTTCTCTTGGTAGAGACAAGTATACTGATTGAGCACAGCCGTGTAGGTGTAAAGGCTGTTTCTGTATATGCAGTGATGGTTTCTTCAACTAGTTTCTTAATTAGAATTGAATCATACAGTGTAACCAGGATCCTTATGTCTTTAGCTATAGCAGTGGGGGATGAAGTGTCCTTAGCTATGGCAATTGGGATCAGAAGTGTGGCTGAACTACCAAATGAACTGAGGGCTTGCTGCTGAATCAGCAAAATAGAAACTATTCAAGTTGGCTGTTGCTTGTTGGAGAGACTGCAGATCTTAGGGGAAGGGTAATAATTGCCAAGGCTCTGAGAGCTGGGTACCTCAATTCTTAGAGTTAGGAGTTGGCATCTGTAATGAGCTCTGGGAGGCTGAGTTCCTTTGCTGTCTCTGCTGGCTTTGCTTTTTATGTAGGAGAAGAAATGCAGTGTGGGATGACAGAACAGATTTTTCTCTCTCTGCTCCTGTCTTATACTAGTGGTACTAGTATACTGAATAATGTACTCTAAGTGTTCCAACTTTGCTTTACTCTTTCTTACTTTCAAGACTGCTGGCTTCCTATATATTTTCGTTTGACAACTTCTATAATATCGAGGATTCTTCTCTTGTATCTTATCTAAAACCATTCTGACGTACAGTACCTTGAGATTTTTTCTTCCTCCTGTAGAGAGGAGGATGTAGGTATTTACCAGGCATTTTCTGATCTTCACTGTTTGAAAAAAGGAAGGCAAGGGAGGGGAGGAAAAGAAGCTGGGTTCTTTTTGGTAAACCTGGGTCTTGTTGGTGAACTACTTTGCTTCTGTGATAACATGATTGTGGTAGTCCTGTTTGGTGTGCTGTGCAATGTGAGATCAAGGCTGCCAAAAGAAGCCCATATGTTGTGGCCAAGATACTTTGGCAATGCTGAGCTCCATTACAAATTACATTGAGTTCAGACAATTTAATGGCTGTCTGAAAACATGATATTGATGGGCCTGCTGAATTGTGAGTAAATTGGTCTGTCTCACTTGCCATGCTCCTATCTGCCTCGGAGTACCACCAATTTCTTCATCAAATGATGGAAATGAAGAAAGCAGGAAGGTTTTAGGCATTGTAGTTTGGCAGTGTAGCAATTATTCTTCCAGCAAATGACTTTAAAGGTTCTGCTGCTCTGCAGTGCTTGTGAGCTCTCCTTAGTAATCTTTCCAGCCTGACTAGATGTGCAGTTCAAAGAGCTTGTAGACAACCATCTGAAAAACACAAGCCTCATGGATGTAGCCATTCTTGTTCTTAACTCTGCATCTATACTCTTCTGTCCAGACTTTGGCTTAAAATATGTCACATGCACTGTCTAGGGGCAGTTATGCAAACAGTAATGTAATGTAGAACACCATGCCTTAGTTTACCACACTAATTAAAATTGAGAGAGCACCTCTGACATTTAGAGTCTCATGATCTTGTTGAAGCAGTGGCTCATGCTTTGCTGACAAATCTTATATATGCAGAAGCCTCAGAGTGTAAGAACAGAGCGGAGGTGAGAAAATGAGAGCATTTGAGAGCAAAGCTGTTTTTCCCCTTGTTGTAGAGTACAGAGAAGGTGTACACGATTTCAGTTTTTCTTTTCTTAAAATAACATTGTGGAGTTGAACATCCTGCAGTTCAGGAAGCCCCTTCTGAAGTTCGGAGAAATCTTCCTCTGTTCCATACTGCCACTGCAGGTTTAAGTGCATAAAAAGTCAGCATTGTGTTCAATACAATACTTTTCTCTAGCATTCATATGTAATTGCATTTCTGGTATAACTTCAGGTCTTAGGAGAACAGAGATTTTGTGGAATGGACAAGTATATGAATGCTGTGCAGGAGCAGAAATTGAAAATTACTCAAAATACTTGAAAACTTTAACATAAACTAAATATTTGTTTCATGTTGTTGTAGCATTCTTTCTCTTGAATGATTTGTGGTCTCTTTATTTCAGCAGGGGATTTGTTGGTATCGCTAATCATCAAACTTTTGGGGTGAGCATAGGACTGAAGTGAGGATTGAAGCTAGTAAGATGAAATGAGTTATTTTTCCTGCTTTTCTTCCATTGTGAGAAGAATGGAAGATGTATGAGGGTAGGTCACCTCTTTTTGAATATCAGAAGGCCAAGAAACCTGCCAAATAGGGGATAATGAAGAGTGACAGGAAAGAACTAAAAGTGTTACAGAGTTCTATGTATGTAGTTTAGAATGAGAAGACTCTTGTTTTAGAAAGGGGAACACCTGACCCATTGAGTGTGAATGGGATGATTGTTCTCCAATAAAAGCACAGAGTAACATGACAGTATCAAGCTTCCTACTAGGAGAGGCAACTTTGCAGAAGCAGTGTATTTGCTTTTAAGCTTGGTAAGTTTTAGGTCAGCTGAGTATGTGTTTGTGCCCACACAGAGCAATTCTTAGGAAGCATCACAGTGCAGTGCTCAAAGGCATTGTTCAAACTACAAGCCTACAGTCTCTACTTTTTGACAAAAGAGAATCTCATGGCTTCTGTACATCTGCTTCTCTTCCTGAGATTTTGTTTCCCAAGAGCACAGCACGGGGAGAAACCAAGCTTTCTTGCAGGACTTGAACAACAAGCCATAGCTGATTCTCAGATGATCTTATAACCTGGGTCATGTGTTTCTATTTAAATTGACATGACAGCAGATGATGGAGCTATGCTCATCCTAGGAAAAAGCAGTATTGATTTTGTTGAAACAGATGCAGAAATTAGGATACAGCAGTCCTAATAATTAAGAACAGTTTGTGAGCAAATCCCATGTGAAATAATGAAAATGGTTAAGTCTATGTATGTAAACAGCAAGTTTGCTGTCATAGACCTTGATGCAACTCCCATCACTAGGAAATTTGCCCGAGAAGTCTAGCAAATTTTGTGCTTGTTGGCTGGCTAATATGAGCTTACTCTCTTCTATATACAGAAAAACAAGTATCATATTTACTGAAGGGTACTTGCCCTTGGTTGCAGTGGTTGGTCATCTGTAGCTGGTGTTTGTTGCTGATGAGCTCAGCTGTACAGGATGTGGACTGAGCTTGGGTGGAATCATGTCCAGAGAGGTTATGGAGTCTCTTTCTGTGGAGATATCGAAGACCCATCTGGATGCCTACTTATGTGACCTACTGTAGGGTACCTGCTTTAGCAGGGGGATTGGACTCGATCTCTTGAGGTCCCTTCTAACCCCTACAGTTCTGTGATTCTGTGATGTCCCATATGCTTAGGTGAATATGAGGCTGCACGGTAGTTCTCCCAGCTGTATCCCTTCTTGTAGGTATAGCTTTGTGTATAGCAGCCTCTGGAGTCTGAGCTTATTGAGTGAAATTAGCATGAAATATTTTGCTGTTTTCTCAGCAGACAAATATTGGGCCAACCCTACTCCCAATCCCTCATTAACTGCTTCCCATGTGAATGAAAAACCAATTGACTTTCCTTTTTTTGGAATGCAGGTCTTCTTGAGCTCTCCCTGGGAAAATTCAGAAATGTGCTACTTAATCAGACCAATCCGGTGGAAGCAGTCATCAGGAACATTGCAAGCAATGTGACAGTCATCATTTTTCAAGTACACGCGCAGCAAAGTGATGTGGTGATATCTTTTGATAAGGTATGGGAAAAGTGTCATGTATGTTCTTGAGTATTACTTTTCTTTCCCTAGAGGGAAAGTAGGAGCTGGCATCCTACATATAGGGTACAGAATTGTAGCTATATAAGTACTACATAAGAGCCATGCAGTTAAAGTGCTTTTAGGATTTCTGAAACTGGAATAATACTTTCTCATGCTCTTGTGTCATGATGGCTATTTTAGAGGGCTGAATAGCAAAGGAATTTTGGAACTGGCTTAAACTTTTCTTTCAGTGTTCTTTGCTCTTGATGAGAGTGGTGCTTTTGATATGTGGCTGCTGACCACTGTCCATCAATGTATCTCATTAAAAACAGGTTCATGACAGTTGCCAGATGCCGTGATCATGCTTAGTATAACAATTCTTGATTTTTAGCTGTCTACAGTTCACATTGTTTGTGTATAATTACTGTAAGTATGGTGTCTCATTATCCCAGCTGCCTCTCTGGAGTTGATTTTTGTTTAGTGGCATATGGAGAAATTGTTCCACAGTACTCCAGTGAAAGCTGCTACACCTAGTTGGCAATACAAGCGTCCTTACTGCTATAAGCTAGCCTCGTTTTTGTCCCATCATTACTGGGATGTAATCTAGAATACTGATTTTTATGGTACTCTGAGGCAATTAGTTTACATTATGCTCAAGTATTACTAACCTCCAGGTAGAGGTGGCAGCAAGACAGCAGCCATCCAGTTCCTGTATTCCATCAGTGTATTTCAAATGAGAATATATTGTGTGCCAAGGACTATGCTGGGAAGCTTAGAAGGTGAATAACCTGTAACACAAATCACCCAGCTCAGTCATCTTTGTACTGTTTAAATACCCAGGATTCCAGAGTGGAGGCATTACTTCTATACTTATTCAGTCATTGATTATCAGCCGTAGTGCTTTTTGCTGTGTCAGTTCATACTACTGTACTTGCACGCATGAGGTTTACCAAGCCAAGGGTAGTGCCACACAAATATGATTGTGCTGCTTTTGGGGCTGGCCTGCCTTTGAAGGTATGAAATTGAGCCGGACCTTAAAGACTGTCAGGTGTAAAGTGCCTCATTATGGTGTTGCCTTGGATAGCACTTGTGGTCTTGGACAAAAGGCATTTTCTGTACTGAAGAAAATTTGACTGCATGTCAAATCTTGGTTGTTCCAGCCATGAGTGATGCAGTTGTTGCTATCTGATCTTCCCTCAAGGCTTTTGGTTCTGAAAGGAGTGGTGATGTTGAGGATTAGATCAGTGGTTGTCTGGCATGGCTCATGTTAAAGCCAGCTGTTATAAAGTAGACTCCATTATGGTGGAGATAGTGAGGTGTTTTGGCATTCTTGTTCTCAGGATGTTCATCAGTTCCTTTACACCTTTTTTGCAAGAGGTATTCTAATCCTTTTATACCTTTAGTAATCATTCCGTATCTATACACCTGTAGACTTACCTAGCTAGAAATCTCTGTGATTTCTGTGTTTTTGATGTTACCTCTTCACTAGTCTCAGACTTTCAGGTTTCCTTTCTTTTGAGCCTGAACTGGCCAGTGTGTAGTGTTGAAGGCTCCCTTTTTTTTTTTTTCCCCTCAGCTCTGAGCTACTGCTAGCTAGCTGAATGTCTTATCTGTGGCAACTGGCACTGAATGTGTGACCAACAGGTCTGTGGCAGAAATGTGACTCCTGTGCAATATGTCTAGCTGTGGTAAAACATGATCACGATTAATTGTTTGTTTGTGTAATGTGTTTCTGTCTAGAATCCATCTACAAACAGCTCAGGCACTGGAGTAGACAGAGGACTCATTTCTATCCTTCGACCTCAGCAGACTGTGTGTACGTGGTACCTTCGATCTCTGGATGCTAACCAGGTGCTAAGCACAGCTATCTCTATTCCATATATGGAGAAAGGTATGTTGCCCTTTTTTTTGGTTAAGGGGCACCAGCTCTGCTTACTATTAGCAAACTGTGGAATGCAGTGTTGCTTTCTCAGAAGTGGTGATCTTGCATGGTACAAGCAGATGGTGGAGATGGCACAAGCCCTTTGGGGTTGCCAAAGCTTGTTTTTATTACTGAATTATGATTTATGTATAAGACATACTGTGTGGTCTTGTCATGACTTCAGCCTCTGAGTAGAAAAACGCTGTGCATGTGTATTAGGATTTGTTTATGTGATTGCAGTGACATTACTTGTATTGTCTGCAGGACTAGAGCCTAACAGTGTTGGGTACTCAGCATCAGACTATGCCTGCAAGTGTATGCATTGCTGAGGTCATGGACTTTTTTTTCATCTTGTGAGAGAAAGAAATAAGAACTACTACAGCTATTTTTTTTGTTTTGTTTTGTTTTCCAGATCCTATACCTGGAGGCTGCAATCTAGAATTTGACTTGGAAGTGGATCCCAACATTTATCTAGAGTACACACTGGTTGATGTACGCATCAAGTTTGCCCCTGCGAACTTGGGATATATGAGGTGTGTAGTTAAATAAAAATGAATGGGGGCTTCAGTGCTCTGACTAGAGCCTATATTGGTGTTTCCTTTCCCTGTATTTGACTAGGGTGATAATACAAGGTTTAATGGAAAGGTTGAACATCTTACTACTGCTAGAAATATTGTTTGCTGCAACTAGTAACCCAAGAAGTAAGCAATGAAAAGAAGGGGGGAAAAGGTACTGTAAGAAAGGGAAGTTACATCCTGTGGGAGAGATTATGCATATGAGGGTTTTGTGTCAAGCATGTTGCTGACCTCTTTTTAATTGCAGAGGGGCAAACCCACCATCCTGTGATTCAGGGACTGGTCAGAACTCCAGATGGCGGCTGCGCTATGATGTCTACCAGTACTTCTTACCAGAGAACAATCTTTCTGAGATGGTGCTCATGAGCCACATACGGAAGATGTCTGAGGTGCAAAGTATCAAAGCTAATGGTGTTAAAGTAAGTGTGAAGTGTCAGACTGTGAGGCACTTAGCAGTGCACTGTGTGAAATTTTATCTTCTTCCCTGTTCTTCTCTTCCTTGAGTTGAACTGGACTAGAAACTGACCCCAGTTTGGAGTGACGTGAAGAGAGCAGATATGATAGAGCAAACAATTCTGGCATGTTTACCTACTCCCAGCAAAGAGATTGGAAGGGACGGAGGGTGAGAATGTCAGTGGCCGTGACCTATCTGGCCTTGCTAGGGAGTAGAACAGCCTCCCTGCTTCAGAGGGCAGATTTGAGCTAGAAGACTGATAGAAAAAATTGGACTATGCCCTCGAATGGGGAGGAACAAAACATGGGTAGAAAAATCTAATGTGCTGTCAGAAAGCACTGCTTTATGTTGAGGGAAGTGGAGTCGATTCTGCAAGCCTTTAACATTTCAATTGGTAATACAGAGAGGGTTCAGAATAGCAGAGCTCCAGTTTCAGTTCTTGCTGGTCTTCCTTGAGCTGCTGAATATTGTGTGCATTGCCATGGCGTTAGAAATAGTGACAAGCAGGTCTCTGCAATTAAAAATATTCTTGACTGTTTCAGATGCTTACAGTGACAAGTGATGATAAGACAGATGTATACTTTTCCTCACTCCCTGGGCAAGGTGTGATCTACAATGTCATAGTATGGGATCCTCTTTGGAATACTTCTGCTGCATACGTACCTGTGCACACATATGCCTGCAGCTTTGCTGACCTAGTGGATAACTGCTCTTCTCTTAGTAAGTTGAGGCTTGTTGGAATACAATTTAAGCTTGCGCTCCCATGTGCTGAGGGGTGGGTGTTTTTTTTTTTTTTTTGAGAGCTTTTTACATGTGTAGATATATACTCTTGACATATTTTTGTTTCTTTGAATCTATTTCTTGATTGAGGAGAAATTCTAGAATTATAAGAATTCTTCTATGAAGAGCTATTAGTGATTGGTGGTCTCCCTCCAGCTTTTTCCATTTGAACTGGATATGCAGATTTAAATTACTTTGTGGGTGATGTATGTGAAACTAAACTGATAAAACATGGTCTGGATTAGAGTCCAGCTCTAATTCTTGAATTGTGCTGATGCTAATAGCAATCAGTAACTTTCAAATATTTTGAAATGGGATAGTCACCTAAAAACAAGCATGAATATAATGCCAGCAATAGAAATCTGATTACAAAGTCATACTACTTTCTATGAGGTTATGTAATTATAGAATGAGTGCAAGAAGAGCATACCGAAGGAACAAAAATAATGGATAGAATATGGTTCTAAATCTAAAAGCAAGATTTGTTCTCATTTGCATAATCATTACTCAGGTGACTTGTCAAATTCAGTGTCTTGTGACCTCATAAGAGACATCTGGGCATAAAAACCTTTTCTCTAACTCAAAACTAGAGAAATGTAGCCTAAATATTAGTAAGAATTATTTCTAGGAGACAGAGATGAGCTGTACTGGGGTGGTGATGGTCCTTTCTGCTGCATGAAAAGTATATTTCTTGTAGATAAAGATAAAAGCTGCAAAGATAAAGACTAACTGCTATAGTACTGACTATTTTAAAACTGAGTAGAGAATTTTCAGATAAGCTGTAATAGTGGTACTGCAAATAGCAAGTTATGACTGTCTGACTAATGTTTACAGAAACTTCAGTCTCTTGAGTAAGTGGAAGCTTTTGACTGCAGCTTAGCCTGGAGCTACTTAAATATTCTGCTACAGTTCCTAAAGATGTTTGTTAAGTTAGATACTGCAGATTCCTTCTCATTGTGAGTCTGAAGGAGCAGTTACGTTGTTGGCAGACTAAGTGATGACAACCTGTCTTTGTTAGTGTCACTGTTGGGACTGCTAGAAGAGAGTGCTCTAGTAACCCTTTCTTTCTCCTTGTAGGCAAACTCTCTACCAAAATATTCTTCACTGCTCTTGCTGTTCTTGGTCTCTTCACCTGCTTTTTTGGACACAGATTCTGGAAAACAGGTATGGAGTGGTTTTTCTTCTCATAACTCTCATTGGAATTTCATAAGTGTGACTTGCTGTGACTTGCTAAGAATCACCTGCAATTACATGTCAATTAGATCCACAGCTTTGCTTAAACAGGGTCAGATTTCCTGAGCTCAAAACAAGAAGTTTCTGGTGTTCCAAGAACAGGAACCCAGAACCAGAGTGCATGCTGGGGGGCATAAATATAAGTGTGCAATTGTTAGCTTATTTGAAGTACTTTGGAACTGCCCTTTCTGGAACAAAGTGTTGGCTGTCTCCTTGTGCTTAAAAGCTAATGAGCTGAGATCCCCCTTCCCCGTTGTAAAACAGAGGGACCTGAAGATGTACTGAAGTAGACTTGGTATCATGTGATGTGATATCATATTAATCCCTTTTCTCTTATCTCTAGACTTATTCTTCATGGGATTCGTAATCACAGGATTCTTTTTCTTTGTATTCATCACTAGGGTAACTGGCCTTGGTTATGATGGTGAGTAGATGACAGGATATCCTGACCTCTTCCCAAAACATTATTGTTCTGCTTCTCTTAAGTTGTGCTTGCAGCTGGCTAGCCTTGGGAAAGATTAAAAACAAAGTAGTACAGTATGTGAGTACTTCACCTGAGCTCTGATTACCATACCAGCTGAATATACAACAAAGTAGTTACTGTTTTCAACCTCAAACAATAAAGTGGAAATTAATAGCTGCAACTATGAAGACAAATTTGCATATCTATCCAAAGGAGGTGTAGACTTAGAAACTGTCTGGAATTTGCAGTCTGTGTCTTTCCTGTCTCTTCTGTAATGGTTAGACCTCAGTTTCAGATCAATAAGGATTCTAAATGCAGAATGGAACAAGGAGTTGCAACCTGTCTGTTGGACTGGCAAGAATTGGTTCCTTTATTACATCCTATGTCGTATAGGTACAATATCTATTGTAACATAATTTCTCTGAGATCTCAAGCTACTCTTGTACATAGTAGCAACACCTTCATTACAATCCTATGTCACTCTTTCAGTAGCATACTCTCAATTACAGAATGGAATTGGTGAAATGCATGAAGCACAAATACGAGCTTTTTCAGAAAGTTTTCAGAGGGCTTTCGTTAGGTAATGGTCAAGCATGCAGGCAAAGCTGTTGAATATGTTATTGCAAAAACTGAAATTTTCAGGATGCTGCCACAGTTCTTAGTTTAGAATTTCCTATTTTATTTTTCAGTGCGCCTTATTTTGACAGCAGTAGCTGGAATTATTGGAGGGATTCTCCTGGTTGCAAGCTGGTGGAGATTGGGCTCTGTCCTACTCTGTATGTTGATTATTGGACTCGTGCTGGGATTTCTCTTCTCATCAATGGTCTTCTTTACCCCACTAGGTATGTACTGAAATATTCTGCTGTGAAGTGACTACTGAGTGATACTTCCCTTCTGTGTTTCAGGAACTCCAAGGCTCTAAAACAAATGCCCCTATCTGGTGTATCTTAGTGTGATTTTTCTTTATTTTTTTCCCTTTCTGGTTTTGAAAGCATTAGAGATGTGTCCCTGAAGCTTTCTTTCAACGTGTGCTGCAATTAAAGCTACTTGGGGAATCAGCACTGGTGGGAAAAGGAGACTGCTTATTCTTCCTACCCAAGCAGCTGCATTTCAGTAATCTAGTACCATCTCTGCTCCAGGCAGGCATTTGCTGTCTGTCTTGTTCTCTGATTCAGAGCAAGTTAGAGTAGAAAATCTGTGGTCTGACTTTGACGCTTCAGGCATGAAGGCATCTTGGATTAAGAGGAGCTCTTGCAGTTACCTTTTACTGTACTGCAGTGCAATGCTGTGCAGCATTTTATTGTAAGTGAGTCTTACTTGTATTGGCAGCTGAACTGCCATCACAGGTGTTTCTAGAACTATTTCCGTAAGAGGAACAATGGGCAAAGCAAGAAAGGCTTCTGAGCTGAAATCCCTCAGTGACATCAAGGCATCAGCTACACTACTTTCTTTGCTGTACCTTTAAATTTCATAAATGCATTCCTTTCTGGCTTTCCTACTTAAGATCTCCTGGTGGGGCAGTTTTTCCTTTCAAAGATTGTCTGTTTTACTCAGTCTGTGATTGTGTAATAATCCATGCGTTCCCTGGTTGCTCTTTACAAGAATAAAATAGTGAGTGAATTAGAGTCAGCTAGTCCCCTGTTTAGCTGATGGGCCTTTGAAAGCAGGGAAGCAAAGTACCATTTAATCAAGTAACTTAATTATTCTTACGAAAGCCAGAAGAGCTTCTTGCCATATATTGTATTGGTTGCACTTGCACCAGGTCCTATAATAAAACTTATGTGGATACAGGCTTATAAACTGTAAAACTGTATAGGCAATAAAATGGTTTCTCATTAGATGGAAGTACTCTGCTTTTCATTCTTATCAGATGAGTAGTGTATACTTCACTGTAAAACTAGCTTGATGATCAAGATCTGTTTCCCAGTTTAGGACCTGTGCTAAACTGGAACAATCCTTCTGTTCTGACTAACAGTGCACTTTAATTGGCATTTCAGCTCAAAAGCTAACCTTTTCCATGTTGTACTCCAGATATTTCTAAAATTTCTGAATGTACAAAATCTTTAGAGAAAAGCTTACCATTACAACCGCTTAGGGGGAGAAAAAGTGATTGTCTTACTAATGCTAGAAAGCTACTTGTGGAATTATGGTGTCTTTGCAGGAGACTACAGGGTGTTCCGTGATGATGTTGTGTTCTGGGTGACCTTTTCTTCTGTGGCCTTGATGATTCCAGTGCTTTTTGTTGGCTGTCCAAGAATTGTAAGTAATCTGTTCTTCCTCCCTGGGAGGAGGGGAAAAAGGGTTTCAGACCATTATCCAAAATGCAGTCCTGTGCAATGTGTAGAAGATCAAACACAGCTTCATAAAGCTCAGCACAGGATCAGCTCTAAGGAGTTCCTATTTGCTGCTACTTGTACTAAATGGGCCATAAGCAAAGGAACGATCTTTTCACAGCTTTGCACACAACAACCAGTAACACTCTTATTGGCCTACCTACACTGTGTGGATAGGATGCCTGGGTAACAGGGTGTAGGGAGCCAAATTCTTTTGGTAGAACTGATACAATTTTGCATTGAAAAGGTGGGGGAGTACAGTGTTAGTCAGTTTCCTCAAGTTCTGTTTTTCTTCCCCCTTCCAGCTGAACATACTGGCCTGTGGGGTAGTAGGCTCTTACTCAGTGGTCCTGGCTATTGCATGTTATGTCTACACAAGTCTTGCTTACATTGCCTTAGACTTGCTCAGAAGGCTCCTCAATGATTACTTCAGCAGAGCTTACACCAATGTGCCTTTTCAGACGAATGGTGAGTGCTGTTCTTACACTTTCTTTAAAAGAAAAAGTTGGAAACGTTTACTTGAAAACTGCACCGTTGCCTTGGTAAATGTTGAAGGGGTGAAAAGATAACATAAGAAGTATGGTGTGAGATTTTAACACCCAAATGATGAATTTCAGTCCTCCAAAATTAACCCTGAGTTGTCTCACACGTGAACCTTCCAGCAGATGTTGCATTAACAAGGTACTTACCTGAGGTGGTTTTTAGGTTTGGACTGCATGTTTGCAGAGTGGCAGTCTAAGGGGCAGTGACTGAATGTGCTTGTTCTTACCATTGCTTGATTATTCTCTCTGCCCATAAGGATGCAGAGGCAGTATGTCATTCCTTCCTGTTTCCAAACTTGCCAGTGTTTGTGCTTGTGAGTCATAGAATGGTTTGGGTTAGAAAGGACCTTAAAGGTCATCTAGTTGTGACCTCTCTGCTGTGAGTAGACGAGGTTGCCCAAAGCCCCATCCATCTTAATCTTGAACATGTGCATGGACTTCACACTTCCTTTCAAGTTTTATGGGAATCAAGTGTTTTTTCTTTTTTCTTTTTTTTTTTCTTTTAGACTTTATTGTCCTGGCAGTGTGGATAATGCTAGCCCTTAGTGGAGTCACTGTGCAGCTTCGCCGAGAGAGAAGTGAAGTGCCTTTCCCACCACACCCTTACCTCACCTGGAAACGGGAAAGGGAGCGCAGAAGCACAAATGTCTTAGACCCCAGCCATCATATCCCTCCCCTGAGAGAGAGGATCCACAGCAAGCTGCTACAGATTAAAGAGCTTTTTAAGAAAGAGCAGCCAGCTGGGGAAAGAACTCCACTGCTTCTGTAACCAGCTCAATAACTGGTGGGAACAGAGAGGAAGAATCTAAGAATGGCAAGATAAGTTATCACCAGCAAACCAGCCAGTGGTGCAGGCTTGTACCACTGTCAACTTGTCTTGTGTAATAAGAGGAGGCTGTTTTTAAACTTCAAGGAAAAATTATCTGTCCTGTCCACTACATGCTGTTTTGTGACATTCCTCAATGGCCCACTCAAACTGCTGTAACAAGCATATGTCTGGCTGCAGAGATCTCATATTAAGGATCAAGTACAGGTATTTGTCTTGTAGTGAGCTAATTTGATGTTCAATTATGTGAAGTATGAAACAGTCCTTAGAAAGCAACCTGTACAACACTGGTTCTTCCCTCACGGTGTGAAAATTGCTGCCAAAATATTGTCTGACTTGCTCTCAGAGGTGAGCAGTCTGCTATCTTGCAAGGGAAGAAAGACAAGGGTCATACAGAGAAGGAGTTCTTCTAGCAGGAACTGAAGTATCATCTTCTAATAGGTACAAAATGTGTGGCTGCAGACGCAGTTGCATCTGAGAAGTATTAGTGAACCTTGCAAGCTAAATTAAGTGACTTGAATTTAAACTGCACTGAATTAACTGTTGTAAGTGAGCACACTGGGGCTCAGGAAGTTGAGCTGATCTGAGACAAGACTTTCTCCCTCTTTTGCTTGGTTCTGTAGCAGGCTGGTCATCTGGTCTTTGTGCAGAGGTGACTGCTAAGAGAACACAAGTGGCTTGCCGCCTTGTTTGCTTTCTGAATAGCCTGGGACTTGCTTTGTCTCTGGCATCATCTTTTTTGATGAGGCACTGCCAAAGACAATAACTGGAATAAGCACTTTACAGCCAATGTCAGTCTTTCCTGGAATTAGTTGAAACACTAACTGTTGTGGTTTGTTTTTTTCTTCTTTAATCAATCAATAGGTTTTTTAATTTTTCTCTCTAATGGTAAGAACAGCATACTGTGGGCAAAATACTGACCAAGATCCTTGCTGACTCAATATGTTCCTTACCAATTTTGATTGCATTTGCCAGAAGTAGAATGCAGTGTAAAACAGATAAAGGACCACTCTTGTGTTCAGTGGGAAACTGCATCTTTTTTGGTGGCTTTATTCACTTCCTTAAATAAAACAAGCAGCCATTTTCAAAATGCAGACTGGAGCATTGTGGGTTTGGCTCAAATTAATGTATTGACCTGAGGCTGTCCTTGGGTTCTACTGCCCATCCCCTGCCCAGTCCTGGTCTGTATCCTCAGTGTTTACATTGTTGTCTGTCTTATATTAAATAGTAATGAAAGTAATGCATTACACTGATTCTTCATACAGGTTTTGGTGGCTCTTTTGACTTTTTTTTTTTTAAACTTTAATTTCTCCTTCCTGTCTTTATACCTTTAGTGTGGGCAGTGGAGTACATAGTCCTTCCTGTCTGGAGGTGAATGGCTGTTCTGCTTCTTGAACGGAGCCACTGCTAGTGAATAACCTGCTGGTAAAACTTCAGTTCTCAGCCACTACTTTAAATTCTTGGCAGTGTGTCAGACAGCTCTCTAAGGAAAGTGGCAATACTACTCTGAGAACTTAGTTGAAAGCTGAAACATCCTAGCAGGAGAAAGGAATCAATGACTTCAAAGTAACTCAATTTTACAGCCACTTCTCAGCTTTTAAGGAGTGAAAATTGTAGCATGGTACAGCCTCTGAGCTGACTGAGCTGATCTGATGTTTAGAGACAAATCCCATGACTGATTTGAGCTGGTACATTTTCCTCAAACAGCTGAGCAAGGCTGCAATCCTACAGTTAGGGTCTTGCTTCCACCTGCTGTTGTGTGTGGCAGATGGGGGTAAATAAGGAGCTCTTTCCTTGGTCCCTGATGGACTGATGTTCACTGACTGCCCTTACTGCACTGATACTGAGCTTTTCTTTGTGTATTTGACTAAGTAGCAAACACTTATTTGGTATACAAATGCTCTTAAACGTTTACCTTGTTTTTTTTAACTGTTGTGACTAGCATTCTGAAGAAGCAAGTTGAACTCTAATTTTCTATATCTTTTTATAATAAAGATGTCTTTTGAAATAATGTTGTAACTGAAGGGATGTCTTCATGCTGAATTCAGTGTCACTTTTACAGTCACAAATACTGAAGCAAGTTGTATGGTTGGTTGTTGTGAAACGTTAGGCCCTCAAAGGATGTGGTAGGAGAAGCCCAGCTGACCTGTCATAAGGACTGACTGCAGTCACAGTAACACCTTGAGGTCCAAGCTGAGACCAGCCACGTTCTGTGTGAATGCAGGACCTGAAGAGGTGTCTGTAGCTTCATTGGAAAAAGTTCTAAAGGACAAAAGACAGTGTGTCAAACTCTTGACTGGAAACAAGTCTGCCAGATCCTGTGGGAAGGCTGGAGCAGAACTTGGCTTGGAACTCTTCTGAGATCCTCAACTGGAGATGGTAGTCTTTTTTTTTCCAATTAAAGACTATGTGTGGCTTATTTTCATGTTCCGTAAGCCATAGTGCTTAATAGCGACTGTTGTAAGAATATACTAACTGATTCACTGGAGTACTGGGAGGGAGGGGGGGGGGATTTTTTTTAAGGCTCCTGCATACCATTTGTGGCAGCTGCAAGAGAGATTGAATTCCAGTTTGCTATGCATTTCTGTACCATGCAAGTACAGAAAACTACTCACTGCAGCATCTCACTGAAAGCACTTACCTTGCAGTTGTGCTAGCTTAAACTGTTGCAATTTAATGCTTCTTGGGAAGCTCTGGGTGCTGATATGTCTATAAAACCAGGTGTGTTGATTATAAGCTGGAGCCTCCTGGATTATAATGATCTGCCTCTCTCTACCTTAGAGAACCCACCTGCTGTTACTGCTTTGATGCATTTCTGCAGTTCTCATTTCACTATAACAGTGCTGCAATGATTACATCATGGTGTTTGTTCTCGTTCCTCCTACAGCTTTTCTAGGACTGAAGCACATGCAGAACTGCCTTAAAGCTAAAGGAGAGAGAACAATATAAGTTGCATCATCATCCCTGCAGTTGTATTCCCTGTAAGCAGCTTTTCTCACTGGGAAGAACGGTGGACGTGTATCTTCCAGTCTAATGGCATGTGCTGCTATTGCTTAGTAGGAAGTAAATGTGCTGGTTACTGTTGTTCCATCCTTTCAAACAGGTGTTAGAAATACGTTACATATAGTGGATTATAAAGCACCTGAAACTCTTCTAAGGGCGTAGCTGTTGTGGTGTAAACCCTACAACTGAGATTTCTGAGAACACATCAGCCTTGGTTAATGTATTGCCCTCTGCGGGCAGAAGACTTTTTATTATTTTCACTTAGAAGCTACGAGCTGGATGTGACTGACAGGTAGGTGGCAGTCTTGAAACTGCTCACACTCCCAGCAGAGCATGGTTGGGAAGCTTTGCCATCCCCACTGTCGTCAAGTAGCATAGGTTTGGGTAGGACAAAAGCAGCATTTCGTGAACTGCTTGTTTGGCAGTGCTGTGCTTGGGAGGAAGGGGACGTAGATAGCAGACTCCTGCTTGGGTGTACAAGAGATTGTACTCTGCTGCACGCTGGGAGAAGACAAATCCAAAACAGCAATAACTTGGCTCATTCTGGGAGAGAGACAAAGCTGTGTACAACTTACCTACCTGCTGCAGTGCTGGGTTCTCACACGTCTGACTTGTCAAAAGAAAAATAACAACAAAACCTGCTCTGTCCAATTGTTCCAGGTTGCCCATGCTCTCTTCTGTGTAATGCCATCTAATGTGCTCATAAAGAGCTGGATTAATTTATCCCAAAAGCCCTGGGGAAAGCAAGTCATATCCAGGAAGCCCAGATAGCATGCATCATAGGAAACAGCTGCTGAGTGCCTAGACAGTCATTTGAGGAGCTGTATGTAATTCATTTGAAAGTTGTTTGCTGTATTGCTGCGTATGATTAGAGAACGGAGGGCACCAACCATCCTGCATTTGTTGGTGTTGGAAGTTCAAACTTGCAACTGAATCTTCAAAAATACACCCAGTGGTGTTTCTCTGGTGCAGGAGCCCTCAAACTTTTCCAGGGCTTGTCTCAGTGGTGGGAAGATGCTTGTTTTACCTTTTTAAAAAGAACAGTAGAATGAATCCCTAAGGCAATGCGAATGTACTGTGGTTGTGGTTCTTCTCATTTCCCTTACTGGCCATGTTTTCCAGTTGAACTCTGAGAAGTGCTGTTAATGTGCACGTCTCAAGACTGGAATTATGGTACGTTTCTCTTTGTCACTCTAAGAAGTTTTTTTTTTCTTTTTCTAGATGTCAGTTGAGTTTTCCTTGGCTATGGTAACTAATGGTGGTTTTTTTATACAAAGGCATGGCCATACTGCCTGCTGCCAGGCTCTGATGATGCAAGTGTTCAGGCACTTGGCACCCTTTGGACACCTATTGATGAACCCATTTCAAATCTAGAAATTTTTCCTTTATTTAAGCCAGGGAAAGAGCTTCTAAAAAGAAGTAATACACTTACTAAATAAACCAGAAACTTCCCAAGTTAATTTAAATCTTACTTTGAACATCTACAAAGCGATTTCAGTAAACAATTCCGCATGAAAACGTGCCTTTAGCTCTGTGATTCTCTGTAATCTTCTAATTCCATGAATTTGTTAAAAAGATGCTAAGGATTTGTTAGTTGTACAACATGGCCCACCTTCAAGCTGCCCTTCAATTTTTGTCTTGGTCAAATAGCTCCAATGCTATACTTATGACTTAGCTTGACATCTCTTACCTGCCTTCAATTTGATACTGAAAGCTAGTTTCTCTTCTGAGAAACCACAAGGAAGTGGAGAAAACATTACACTTGTGAATGTAATCCACTGCCATTATTGTTTACACATCACCGAAACAAACCCAGAGACTGAGTAAAGTCAAAGCAACTTATTTAATCTGGTGGAAAAAAATGTAACGGTCACGTTCTCAGCTGTAGCAGTGTTTTGATACAAAGATCACAACCCAATGGGGGGTAGTTTCTAATATTCATTCTGCTTCTCTGTTTTTGTTTTTTTACTTAAAAAAAAAAAAAAGTGCTTGGATCATAGAACCCCAGACTGGTTTGGGTTGCATGGGACCCTAAAGCCCACCCAGCCCCAACCCTGTGCTGTGGGCAGGGCTACCACCCACCAGCTCAGGCTGCCCAGAGCCACATCTAACCTGGCCTTGACCAACTCTGGAGATGAGGCATCCACAGCTTCTCTGAGCAGCTGTGCTTGGGCCTCACTACCCTCTGAGTAAAGAATTTTCTCATTTCTAACCTAAATCCCACCTCTTTTAGTTTAAAACCATTCTCCCTTGTCCTATTGCTACCAGCCTGTGTAAAATGTTGGTGTCCCTCGTGCTTATAAGCTCTGATTAAGGAAGCACTTGAAGGCTGCAATGGCATCTCCCCAGACTTCTCTTCTACAGGCTGAACAAACCCAACTCCCCCAACCTTTCTTCATAGAAGAGGTGCTCCAGCCTTCTGGGCATCTTTGTGGCCTCCTCTGGATCCACTTCAACAGCTCTGCTTGTGCTTCGGGCCCCAGACCTGGATGCAGTACTCCAGGTGGGGCTCATGAGGGCAGAGTAGAGAAAGGCTACTTCCCTCTTGATGCAGTCCTGGTTACAGCTGGCCTTCTGGGCTGCAAGGGCACACTGCTAGCTCACATCAAGCTTTTCATTCATCAGGACCCTCAAGTCCTCCACAGGGTTGCTCTCAAGGAGTTCTCCCACTCTGAACCCATACCTGGGATTGCCAAGACCCACTGCAAGGCTTTGAGCTTGGCCTTGAAATGGATGTGAGTGTTAAGTTTTCCAACAGAAAATTAACATTTCACAAAGATATATATACACATATTTTTAAAGCAGTATATGTGGGCCTGTCTGTCTGCTCTAATGTACAAAAAAAAGCTCAGAGGAAAGCAAAATGGTGTTGGTTTTTTTTTCCTCACATGCTATAAATACAGCTCATTTGGGACCCAGTACCTTGCTTTAATCACATAGACATCCATATTTTCAGTCAACTTTATTGATAAAATAAGTTTACTGTACAGTACACAATTCTAGCCATAAATTCTTTTCAAGCTATCCGCATTACAAAAATAACAGGTATGCAATGAAAAATAGTCACTCCACACAACGTGAAGGCTCTTTAAAATCCTAAAGTGATCAGGTCAGGGGAATGGAAGGGGAGACGTATCAAACGTGAAGACTAGGAGTAGATAAATTAAGTCACATTTCTTAATTTACAAAAATAAACACTAATCAAGCATTATTTCATAATAGAGCAACCTTAAAGAACTGCCACAGTCTAACAACCCTTCTCTGCTATACACTCTGCAGACTGTATTTGAGACAAAACAGAAGGTCAGCCGTGGGACTGCATTCAGTGTCAAACGGATATGAATGTCTCTGATATCAGTCAGGAGCTGAAAAGACACTTGTAGAAAAAAACCTGAAACCAGAATTTCTTCCCAGTTCGCAGTGCCAAAACACACTGCATTAAAATAGATGTTGCTTCTGATAAGTCACCAGCTTGCAAGCTACGGCAGAAATGCAAAAAACTAAGTTATGTAAGCAGGGGTAAAGTTTTATAGGTAACAGCAGATAAGTGTAATTTGAGCTGGAGATAAAGTATTCTGGGAAAAAAACCAAAACCCTTCAAGTTTGGAAAGGGTAAAACCTTCATGCACATCAATGTCCTCAATATATTCTTAAACTTACCAAAAAAAGCTATGATGCTCTGGTAAAAGAAGCAGCTGTTACCCCAACTACAAAAAATGCTGTAGAACATTGGAGAGCTTCATTCCTGTCCTTCCTGAGCTCTCGTTCCAGCTGCGTTTCTTGGCAGATGTATTAATTAATAAGAACTCAGCATTTGTTTTCTGCTACACGCTTTTCCCACAACTCCACTTGCTTCTCATAAAGCAGCATGTGACAGTATCAAAGCAAAAATATTAAGCTCCCTGTAAGTCCATCCATCCACTGTGAATCTAAAGTTCCATTTTAGACCTTTTGTTGCACGTACCTTTGAGCCTATGGAGGTTTTACTGAATCAACCTTGTTTTTAAAACAGCCACATTTGATGGTGCTTAATGCTCAATTCCATTTGCATTGTTGTAACTGAAAATGAAACTTGTTTAAATGATAACTGATTGTAGAGTACTTCAACTCATTTTGCAAGGTAAGTTACTAAACAGCCCCAATACCAAAGTGTGTATGCCATTTGTAGATCTGCAGTCTTCTGTCACTGAAAGCTTTTGCTGTACTTCAAGTATGCATTCCAAGTAAGAATACAGTAACATGCTGAACAAAATGTGGTAATACACATCAGTCTTAGCAACAGCCTTAGCGCTTTGAACAAGCAGCAGAAGCAGTCTGACAAAAGCCACATGTGAATTATTTCAGCACCTCTTTTATGGCAAATACATCTTATGAAGCACTTCTGGAGTACAGGCATACAGTGCAAGCTACTTCTTGTTCTAG